AACACTGGGGGCCTTGATGTGGGCCATCAGAGCAATGCAGGCTGTCGTCAGGGGAGTCGCAGAGCTGCCCACCTCCCTGCTCTCACTACATGCAGGGACGGGGGGCTCAAGCTACATGCTAACAGGGGCCCTGGTCAGTTAAAGGGTCTCGGCATCTGCCACAGAAGTTTGCTGACAGAGAGTCTTTGTTTGGGAAAAATAATGATATCTTCATTGTCCTCACCTGTCTGCTATGAGACAAGCATCTTGACCTCTAACCAATTAATCAATAAAATGCGGCTGGTGTGTGGTTCAGCGGGTTGGGATGCTGCACCTGTGATCAGAAGGTCGCTGATTCAAATCCCATGGTCAGCAGAGTGATGTCATTGCTGGGCTCTTGAGTAAGACCCTTAACCCCAATTGCTCCAGGCACTGGCTGACCCTGATTTATCAAAAATAGTATGTCATTTTAGATAAAAAACTAAAATCTAAATAACAATGTAAGCTAAACTACACCTGGAGTGTAGATAAAGAAAATGGCCCGATTTTTCTTTTAATCCAAGTACACCCAACTTCCACTCAGCAGGAAACATAAGGCAGTGTGGACTGTCAATCGCAGGGAACAGACCCAAGCAATAACACACCAGATACTGATCTGGAAACCCACACAGAAACGTCAATGCCCAGCAGTACTGGGAACTGAACCCACAACACTGGGGATCACAAGATACTCTACCACTCGGCTGCCCAGTCCACGGATCTAGTACACCTCTTTGCAAATTCGGGCCACCTTCAAAATGTGCTGCCTAGTTTTACGTGTAGATTGTCGTGAGCACATATGTGACAATTACGCGAATCGAAGAGGGAAAATAACTCCTCTCAGGCTAATCAATGGAAGCGAGAAGTCTGATCCAGCGGCAGAAATTTATAGTTTGGGAACCGGGTGCAATCCACAAGAGCGTTAACATTTACCACGTGCGAGTGTAGATGTTAATTAAAGTGACAGGCACCAGGACAGAGACCGCCGCACGTGCATGCTGCACGCGTGCACACGAGCCCCATGGCGGGGAGGGTCTGGTCACCGCTTCGCTCAGATGCAAGATCTGGGTATAGTTTCTATGGCGACGTGGCAAGAAATTACAACATGGCCAAACTGTCAGAGAGGCTGAGAACGGTGGCGGCTGTGGCACCGACAGGCGAGAGCGTTTCTTCCCCCAACACATACAAGTGACGTAGCACTTTTGCGATGGCGAACAAACACTAAAATTCAAACTGGTTTGTTTATCGTAAAAGCCCTGGATCAAACGTACTGCTATTCAGTGTTCAAAACAAAAAACTATCATAACTTCATTCTTAAAAGGTCAACAATAAAATGTACACAGTCATGCAATGTAACATCTACCTCTATTGTGTGTCAGGACGCTTGATGCCTTAAACATGATTTATCAAGACTGTTTTAGTAGGAAGAAAGTCCGTATTTTGCACAAATGTAAATGCATTATTTTGGATCGTACAGGATTATCGTTGCAACGGATTGCACAGTTTTTACTTTTTTTTTTTACCGAGGAATATATTTCATCTTGTTTTGTCATCAGAATGCTGCTGTTGCCAAAACGACAAAATGACAGCGTGCTGGGTGAAGGTAGTGAAAGAGAGCTAGCATCATGCAAGAGGATCAAAAGGTGATGGGGGGGGGGGGTTAACACCTGGCTGTGCAGGTGAGGGGGGCCGGGGGAGGCCAGTTTGCCCCAAGCTCCAAATGCAGTACAGGCTCCAAAGTAATCGAACCTCGTTCTCTCTAATGCACTATTTACAGACCAGCCCTTACTAACAAACGCATGTATGTGGAAACCCTGCATAAAAAGCACTATGTATTTATATCAGTTGATCACTATCTTGTACGGTGCAATGTTTTTTTTTAATGGATATGAAATTTTAAGTTCAAAAGCAGGGCCTCTCAATGTCAAACAGATATGCCCTCAAACAATCTGTCCTTTGAGTATTTCAGAGCAAACAAATGTATTAAATTTAGCAGGCAAAGCTCCCCAAAGCAGGATTTTTAAAGAAGCAGTTTAGCTCAGCCTGGATGGATGATTAGTGAAGCACACATCACCAGTCTGGTTTTACTGCTGCAGTAAAGAAGCTAATCTCAAAATGAAACTATCAGAATGCTCCCCTCCCACACAGGACGTAGCGAGCCGTATTACAGTACAGGATGGGGTGAGGGACTTATTATAAAAAAAAAAATTTTAAAAACACTGTCAACTTGACAAATTGACCAGAGAAGCCGCCAGGTTTGAGATCCTGTTGCTGTACACAAAGACAAGCTGTTTTGAGTTATGATACATTTTTATGCCTTTTCATACTACCAGTAAACAACTATAGATGAAAGCATAAGCTGAAGACAGTACATAACTTACTGCACCATTTCAGACAGACAACTGCACTTTTTGCCACTCAGATGTTTTTAGCTCAAACTGCTGACCGTTCGATCCACTTACGGACCTGCATATTTAACGTGAGCCTTTTAAGCTAAGTCCCTTTAAGGGTACAACAGAAGTCTCCCACTTGAAACTGAGGGTTAGCCTTTGATGCATGTCCGTAGCGACCACGCTAGCTGCTACAGGGATCTTCTGGTGCTTCAATGAGACCAGTTTCCTGGATCTCCCCCTGTAGCCGACTTCAGTTCCCTCAAAGGCCGTCTCTGTGCGGTTGCCCACGCGTGTCCAGACGCATACATACACCTACGCCGCTTGTTCATTGAAGTCCGGCTCTCCGAGGCAGCACGCGATTTCAGCTGATGGCCAGCCCTCGGAGACTTCTCATTCCAGACAGGCTGAAATTATATCACCCCCCCCACCCTGTCACCCCATAGACAAGACTGTCCCACCATACAGTGGTCACTTCGGCCATAGGCACACGCACAGCTGCAATACACGGAATATTCTGCCAATCGCATGGAGTACAACAGGAGAGGAGAGAAACACATGCCAATCAGGATCATTTTCCTATAAGCTGCTGAACTTTACTCTCAGTGAAAGCAGGAAAAGTGAGCTTCCCAAGCCTGAGGGTGAGACACAGGCAGACTTCTCCACTGCTGGAAGGTGCACGATTTAAACTGAAAGCCTCTGCTCCTGGCCGGGTTGCAGACGGACAGACACGCAGCTCAGAACAATGCCAGTGAACACGGCGCTTGCTCGACTGCCTCGCTCGCGGGGATGACAAACGTCAGCAGGGCGCAGGGACCATGATCGCACAGGAAGCGGCAGCACGGGGGGGAGGGACGTGCTTCCCGGTTTCCCTGCCGCCTCTCCTGAGCTCTCTAGATGAGACAATCGCCAGCGTTGTGTGTTTGCCGCGGTGCAGGAGTGGCAAGCCCCAGGAGGACTGAGGGAGGCTTGTGTTACGAGCGCCTCAGTGTAGGCCTGCGCTGTGCACATTTCCAGAGAACAGGCTCCCACTGCCAGGGTGACCGGAGAGTGCTAATTCCCAGGCCAGCTGGCACCCCCCCCCCACCCCCCCAGACCAACATGACGTGCATGATGTGAAAAATAGCATTTAAAGCTTGTTGGGCAGAATCCTATCAGGTAATATCTAGACATAACTTATACATAACAAGTTTTCGATAAAAAATACTCTAAATCCAAACTGTAGAGGAAAAGATTAAATAACTGCCTCTAAAAGGAACCAATATTCAGCTGTGCTGTGACAAGAGATTCACCGAGATAATAAAATTGCTATTGCAATGTGTAGGGTTACAAATAACAATATCAAAAGGAAAGCTGCCATGATCGTGAAATTGCCAGAGGAACCTGTCAACAGTCAGATATGTTATAGTCTAGAGGAGACCGCAATAACTTGCATGTATTTATAAAAATTATTCCCACCAGTTAATTCATTCATTCACTCAAAATTATGACTGCTGCTATTTCACACCATGTGCATTTAGGCTAAAACAACACATAATAAAATGGTTCAAAATAAGAAAGATATGTTTCCGTCAGACTGACGGCATCCGAAGTGACTACGTCACGGACTAATACAAGGTACAGTGACGTCAGAATGTAGTCGCTCTTCTGAATTCCTTCCGGCAAACCATCAGCACAGAGATTAAAGAACGCGAGTCCCGACCTGCGATTCACAATGTCTTCCAGCTGACAAGGATACATTTATACAATTATAGGCGGAAATTAACCTGATAAAGTTTTCGAGTGAAACAAAGACTATAAAGCCAAGCGATAAAGGCAAAGACTCCCTTGCTCGCTCGGTACTGTCTGTCCAAGTGAATCGTGGCGAAAAACAAAACAGCTCTACTAGTATAGATGCTCGCATGGTTAACAACGGACGAATGTAAGCCTGAAGTTACCCATATTCTCAAAGATGCCCCTAAACATATACCGCACGGTTCACTTTGACTGTCCGACCCTACCGCTGGACAAATACATGTTTGCTACCCAGATACTCACCGGTTATAATTGATTGCGAACTAATAATTATGGGTTGCTTGTTATATCGCGTCTGAATAGTGCATGAACAGACAAGTGTTTGGAAGAGTTGCCTTAAAGAAACGGTATAAAAAATACAGGGGCAACTGATAAACAAGGTGGATAACATCGAGCCCCCTCCCTTCCCTCTTTCAGGGTGCCCATCAGTCCATCCGGACACTTTTTCCCGAGGACAAAAAGCGACACACGCAAATGATCATCATGCACAGCAATTCATACAGACAACTGTCTATTTTAATAAAACTAAATTATCCCGACTGTCAAAGCGACCAGCTAAAACGGTTATTAAATATTATTTTCCTGAATGTGAAGTCCGATTGTTTTCTAAAACCCCCGCTACCATGTGAATGTTAAAAATCCTCGGACAGCCCCCATAGGGACAGGGACATGATTATTCAGATTATCAAAATTTGATGCTACGCTGAGCGCTGTGAGCAGGATGGCAGCCAGTGCTACTGGATGGGAAGGAGGAAACGGGAAAGCATAAGAAAGAGCGTTAATTAAAGCCTGTCTTACGTTCACTAGCGCGGTGTCTGCGGCGGATTCCCTCAGTTTCGGGTATAAACACCTCAGGACCTCCCTTCGGTAGCCGCGACCAGGCAGCGGAGAAGACGGCGGCCTGGGGAATTTTGATATTAGGGACCGATGAGCCTTTTTCTCGCTGCCGTCCCTCTGTGCCGTGAAAGGTCCCCGCAGTCCCGGAAGTGCCGAACCCGCACCGCCCGCCCGAGACGGAGAGCGCTTCCGGGTAACACGCGGGCTGCCCGGCGCCCCCAAGTGGCCGGGTAGTGCTAAACACCCAGTTCACAAGCATCTATTTTAGGGGATATTTAGAATTAAAACAGCCTTCAGAAATACTAGTTATTGTCATATGTGTGTATATGAATGCTTATTTGCTTTAGCGCGAAACTTGCTTAATCTTTCAAGCCGAGCCAGATCAGGTCGATCAAACGAAGAGCTTCCATTCCATGCATGGTATGGGGAACTATGTTGAGAATTTGGGAAGGACGCTTTATAAAATTGGATCGAATATTTGGGGACTCTGGCAGCTGGCAGCGATACACAATGCATTGGGAAAGGAAAGAGATAATCATATAATTCAAAATGCAATGCCATCGTTCTGTGGAAACAATACTCCAGGAGGAAACTAATTTGGATTTGGAAGCATATTGAGGGAGCACTTTAGTATGCTTTCTCTCTGAGCCACATTTTGTCAGCAACTATTAGTAAGACTGCAAAACATCTATATCACCAGTATAAAGGCATGGCACATGACAGGGAGCAGTACCATGCAGATTGTTGAGAAAGTAATTATGCACTTTTAAGACAGGCTATTCAGGTAATTGAAATTGAACCACTACAGCAGCCACTATAGCAACAAAATGTAAATGAGGCTGCCTCCATTCACATTTGATCACCATCCATCTTCTATCTGTTTATCCTGGCCAGGGTTGTGGAGGGGCCTGGATCCTATTCCCAGCAGCACAGGGCACATAGCTGGGATACAGCCTGGATGGGATGCCAGTCTGTTCCAGGATCCATGGATAATTTAGAGACACCTCTGGACCACAGGAGGAAGCTAGACTCCCTGGAGAAAACCAGTATGTTGTGGAGGGAATATGCACTGTTGGGATCTTAACCCACCCAACCCTGTCGATGTTAGGCAACACACATTTGGATTTATTGAAAATGCATTATACAATTTATGTTTGCCTTCAACCATCAGCAAATCAGAAACAACTCCAAATAGTACCTAGTAAGAACAGTAAATTCAATTATGATTTTGCACTGAAAGTCACACACAATTCCATTGGGAACAGTGTGGGTTAACCACAGAAACGTATAACTTTGACCAATGCACTCTTATATAACCATTCCCCACTCGAACTTTGTCATCTTATCAGAAAAGGTGTATCTGTAAACCCAAAGCACAGGACCCACCTTAAAGGCTTGTCTAGTGGTGAAATGCCATGCCAGATGCCACAGGACAAAGGTGTACCAGTGTACCAGCCCCCCCACCCACAGTAACATTCAGCACCTATAACCATAGATGCCTCACATCATGCAGTAATCCGTATATGCAAGTTTCCCAGCTCAGTTTGAGATATACACTGAGAAGCCTTATAAGAACCAATATGACATTATCGGAATGTAACCCCATCGTAACCCAGGGAGGGTCTATTTGCATCACACACTGATTGATACAGACTTTCAACAAGGCTCTGATGCACAGTCACGGTTCCATGCAAGCAGCAGATGTGTACATATGTTCAGTGATAACCTAAAAATAATTCATTTTTTATAATGGTTAAATAGTATTAGGAACCACAGCAAGCAAAGACATTAGTTTCTATAAGACAATCACCAGTCAAACATTTTGTACACAGCAGGGAATGAGATGACAAAGTACCTTTATTTTAAAAAAAAACAAAAAACTTCTGTACAAAAACAATTATATACAAAGATGTACACTACTAAAATCTACCTTTCAAGTATTGGTCACCATGGCTTTTGTTAATCATAAAACACATCAGTCATCTTCATCATCATCCTGTAAAGGCCGGGATCTGAAAGGAGAAGAGAAAAGTTCGCATCTTCGTGTGACCAAGGGGCTAAAAAATGGAATTTGGTTGGACAGATTAAGGGCCCCAGAAGGAATGGGTTCCTCTCCTAGACCCGTTTGGACAGTCTACACACACGTTAAGCTTTGAAGGCCAATCAAAGCTATACTTCAAAGCACGCCCAGTCATACAGTAATAGACCAATTCAATTAAACCAGAGGACACAGCTGTGAAATTAATATTCACTGCAGCTGCATTAACAGGGCCACATTTACAGCTGTGACTGAACAAAGACTAAGTTGTGTACAAGGCAAAATCCCCATGCCTACCACAAATCAGATCAGACGTCAAAAGATGCAACTGCCCGCTTAGACGACAATAGATAACGAGTAAAACTCCAGTATGACAAGCTATGTACAGATGATCTAATGTATAAACCTGGAATGGCAACTGCACACAACACGTCAATATTACAACCAGGACTAGATAACCCATGAATACCGAACAGCAGTAAGAGCCCCACCTCCTGGGCACTTTAGAGACACCACTGCCCCCAGCCTCTTCATCGTCCAGCTCGGGAAGCTGATTCTCCTTCTCCGGCTTCCTGCCTGGCCCGCCGAAGAAATCGCCGATTCCCTTCTGCCACGTAGGAGTAGGACGAGGACAGACCGGGTTGCCACCAGCATACTTACTCTTAGCTGGAAGAGTCGGACACAACCATGCGTCACCACGAGTATTTATCACCGCGACCATGACTGAACTAGCAGACCATGAACAGGACTAACCTGGGGTTCCTGACTGGGAACTGCTCCCAGCGTTGGGGGAACTGGAGGCACCCAGGGACTTCCTTGGTGCAGAAGCAGCAACAGCTGAAAGCGGGGAGAAGCGTTAGATCCTAAATATCTTTCACGTGATGGAGGAGGTGCCCTGTACTGTGCAGCCTAAGCTTACACCTGCGGTTGCTCTGGCCATATTAACGCCTAATATTCGCAGGGACCCCGTTCTCATCCCGTGATGCCAATGGTACATAACGATGAAACACATCACCGGGGGGGGGGTCCTATTACTACGGACGGACGTTAAACTGCAGTTAACTAGCGTGCTTGTAACAAAATGCGCGCATTTTCCCCGTCAACCACATGTTAGATTATGTGTCCTCAGATTAAAATGTCTCCATCTACGGAATAATAAGTGATTAGAAGTTGAAAGACGTTGAAATTGCGGGGGGGGGGGAAATTGTGGAACATATGCTTGACGATTCATTAAGGTCGGAACAGTATCTCGGACAAGATATACAGTAAAGCACAGATTTATCATCATCATCTAAAATAGTAACAGCTATTATTAAACAGGTTATGAAGGGGCTTCACCGCTCTGTTATTTGAACCTGGCGCCAAAAGGCTGCGGATGCGGAGCAGGAAGTGGCGCCAGATCAGGGACTTCAAACTGCACATTAAACAGCAAGCCGTCGGGAAGCGCCGATCATTAATAAGTTACAACTCTTCCTTTTAATGGATCTACATGCACGGTATTTAGGCAGATGGTACACTCACAAGACAGGCACCTGAAATTTGGCGGGAGGCGGTATTGCCGCAGCCCCAGCGCTCCCGCCGGCGTGGCGAGCAAACAACCCGAAGGCGGATTTATTCTTTGCAAAGCAAATTAGCCCTTTTAATTATAAAATCTAAAACTCAGGTCAGTTTGACGGAGCCCTGTGACATATATGGACGGCGGCGAAAGAAGCTCACAGAGGTCTAAATAACACGCATTAATGAATGTCGATTTTACGGTTCGGGTTAGTGGGATTGCATGTTCCGCAGCTGGGTGTTCGGATCCGCACAAACAGCGCAGTTCTTTCATACATCCCTACCTTTCCTGTAGGCTCCAGGCACGCTGTCCGCTTTCGTCCTCACCATGGTTTCTGTTTAAAACGCCTTTGCTCCGGATTGGGATGTATGTGACTCAACCCTCCTGGGTCTCTTAAAGCAAATACTTCTGGTCTTTCCCGCTCGTGTTTAAATGTGAACCTACGTCAGCGACGCGTCGGCGTGACGTCAGCGACGCGGCCGGCCCCCGGCAGCTGGAGGATGGCAAACATCTTTAATGAACCACAATAGTCAAGTCAAGTAGTTCTTTAATGACATTTTTAACCTTACGCAGTTAGTACAGTTACAAACGGAACAGTGTTTCTCTCGGACCCAGGTGCTACATAAAGACTAACACATAAAATACACGTATTTACAACGAGGAACAACGTACATGTCTTAAAATTAAATATAAGAAATCTGTTTTCAAAGTGAGTTTTTTCCTTTGCGAGGAAATTTATCTTTTGCGAGAAAATGTATAGATATTCGATTATATTTCCATTTAACAATCTGTAGCAGTGGTTTGCCAGTAGGCTGTCTGTATTCCGGTATATAAAAACCTAAATGTCTTTGGTTGTACACATTCATTGGTACTTTATTTGGCGGGGCACAAATAATATAGTATTATACTATTACTTATGTGTTAATTAGCCACAAACCAAGTCTTAGTTACATATTGATCTCATGTTAATTCATCATTAATGAATCGTGCCGCATGTTTTATCTCATGCAGTTATTATATATTGAACAAACTACTGAAGGAACAAGTCATGAATAACGCAAGTGAATTCTGATCTCATGTTTGTTCATTGTTAATGAAGCATCTTTTATCTCAAGTAGAATCTATATTTGTTCATAATTTGTACTTCAGTAGTAGGTATTTACAAAATTCTTCTTCACCATAACACAGTGTAGGATGATCTAGGGACCTCGTGCACTACAAAACGTTCCTGCAAGAATCTAACTGATTGATCCCAAAGAGCAACATTTCAGGTCAAACAGCAATAAGAGCATCTATATAAGCTGTGCTTTCTCTACCTTTCACATTCCTCCTAACAGCACATATCAAGGAAGTCAATTTAAGGAGGAACATTTTAAATTTAACGAGAGCACACCACCCTAAATCACCAGAGAGTAAGCTTGAGGAAAAGACCTTCCCAGCAAGCGGACTCAAGGGGAAAGCCAGTCCTAAATTCAAACTGGTAAATTTAGGCAGATGGTGGGACAGCACAGATAGGCACAGACTATGGAACGGCCAGGTAGGCATTGGGCAGGCAGATGGGCA